AGAAATCTATATTAATGCCATTTCAACTAACTAAAAATACCCACATGGTTTATTGGATCATATTATAGTATGACAAAGTGTAAAACCAAATTCCGAAATTCCGATAAATAACTCATTTATCTTATCGGCATGTTTAAATATTCGCACGCTATCTTCAGCTCTGGCTCAGTTGTCTCAGTTGTCTGTGGCTCAACAGCAAGATTATGTGCATTGGCATTGCCTTTAGCTGGTGTTTACTGTACCATTGCACATGCAGCCACATTTATACTTAGTATTGAGTTGTCTGTTGAAATCTTTGGTTTTACTTTTTACTCTTTGTTTACATTTAGCATCTGCCTTTGCTCGACATATCCATTTATTTATTTATTAGTTTATTTACTTGGCAGCTCGGTGACAATTTCATTGCGCTACAAATATTTCAGGCCAAAAATTAAACAAAACAAAACAAAAAAAAAAAAAAAAAAAACAAAAAAAAACAAGAAGCGCTCCCCAAACGAAACGTCGAAAATTCATGTATTCAAAAATGCGCCTTCATAAAGTTTGACAGTTTTGTGTCGTACGAAATTTTTGACAGCTCCGAAGCAACGAAATATGGATGAATGCACGCATGAATAGTATGTGAATAAGCATATGAATATATATACGTATACGAATACGAGTCGGGCAAATGTTGAATGAACCGAATGCGATCTGTCGCGCGCATGCTGTGCGTACAGTTGTGTTTGGCTCAATGCCTCATACACTGTTCGGCTAACGGAAGAAGAGTATATTGGCTTTTACCAAAGTCAAACTTAATTGAGCGAGTGTGAGCCAGAGACAGAGAGAGAGAGAGTCAGGCTGGCTTCCCGCAAATTCTATAGGAGTTACATATGCCCATATCCGTATATTAACATTAGGCTTCGAACCAGCTACATTTGCTATTAAAAGAATTTACGACTCAAATCAATTCTCGATGCAGCTTGCGCTTTTTCTGTATTATTGAGTCAACAATTTCTTTGATACTTTGACACTATTCCAAAAATCAAGAAAGCGCTTGTGCAGCTGTTCTCAGCGTTTATTTAGACTTAACTTAGGGTATCTGCTAGTCGATAGCTTTGCGTTCGTTTAGTTTTCAGCGTAGTTTAGTTGGAACAGTTTTAACTGGGTGGCAACTCTGTCAAGGCTGTAAACTTCAGGCCAACTACAGTGGAGCATGTTGATGGGGTGAGGGGGTGGTGGGAGGGGAGGTTGTGGCGTTCTGTGTTATAAATTGTGTGTGTGTGTGTGTGTGTGTGTGTGTGTGTGTGTGTGTGTGTGTGTGTGTGTGTGTGTGTGTGTGTGTGTGTGTGTGTGTGTGTATGTGTGTGTGGGTGTGTATATGGTCTTTACTTAAAAGACCATTTTGGGCGTTAGCCTAATGAAAAGGAATTCACATATATAAATGTACATAAATGTACATAGAGTACATAGAGTACATATATCACAGTACATACATATGGTACATATATGACATATAGTACACATATTACATATTTATATGTATGCAATATAAGAAGTACTCGCATAGAAATAAAACACATGTCGCTCGCATTCTCGACGCTAGGACTTTAAAGAGAGACAAGCGTCTGCTGGGAGGGGGGGGGGGGGGGGGGAGAATGGAAATAAAAATGGGAACTGAAACTTGGAAATGCGAATGGGCCATGTGACTGGATAAATTTAGGTTTGGGCTAGAGTCCAGCTCCCGGTTGGGGTCGGGGTCGGGGTCGGGGTCGGGATCGGGGTCGGGTCGGGCTTGGTTAGCAGGTCGCGGGCAACAGCTGAGAGAGGGTCTGCAACGTGACGCCGCACTTTTTGTAACATTAGACGCGTACACGCACACACACAGACACACACACACGCACACACAGGCCATGTGCTTGGTAGTAACAGTAACTACGGCGTCTTGGGCTTGAATCCGGCTGCCAACAATGGAAATCATTCATTGCACACACTCGCACACACACGCACACACTCAGCGGCATACATTTCTGAAAAGAGTTTTGTGGCTCGCCCCTTTCACATGTGTGCGTGTGTGTGTGTGTGTGTGTGTGTGAGTATCGAGAATGAGTATGAGTACAATTCACATGTTTATACTTTATGTTTTATGGACACCCCTCTCTGCATGACAAATCCCCCCAGCCTCGCCCCCCCCCTTTCCCCCTGGCACGCATGTTGACAACAACAACAGGTCCAAGAGGGTTGAGCTTTCGGCTCCATGGCAAGCGAGGAGTGAGGGGGATGAGCGGCTGGCAAGGGTGTGCGGCTGGGTGGCGAACAGCCTGAAGAAGAGACAGAGGGGGGGGGCATTGTCTGTTGAATTTTCCATTGGCATTTTCCGCATTCGCTCGCATAAATCTTATGCGATAAAATGCGCAGCGTTCAGTTCAGTTCATTTTTTTTTTTTTTTTTTTGGAGAAAATTCGAATACGACAACAACCCCCCCTTCGCACCCCAAAGACCCCCCACCCAACAGCCTTGGCAGGGTAAGAGACTGGCTGCAGTTTATCAACTTGACTGCAGGGGTGGCTGGCAAATACTCTACTCCCCCCCCCCCACCCCCCTCCCCCACACACACACACTCCAACAAAGGGGGTTGCTTTTATAGGCAAAATGCATGAATTTTGCGCAATATTCAAAATGCTCAATAAATTTAATGAAAAATGCGATTGCAGAGGAAGAAGTAGGCTAAGGGGCTGGCAAGCGTGTGTTTGTGTATGTCTGTGTGTGTGTGTGTGTGTGTGTGCTGCAGCTGATGGCTAAAACAGCGCTAAGTCGGAAAGGCGGGGAGTGGGGACAAAGAGGCGTTGAAAAGCAGCCAAAACCAAAAGCAAGAAGTGCGCAAAGAGAAAAAACACCTGTTAACCAGTGTATAGATGTGTGTGTGTGTGTGTGTGTGTGTGTGTGTGCCCTTTGGCAATGGCACGAGCCGCAGACAGTTGCCCGCTGATAATTGCCACAGGCCGCAGGCATCCGAAACACCCCCCCCCCCCCCCTCTCTCTCTCTCTCCTCACTCTCCCTCCCTCTCCAAAGACCAATAAGCAAGTTAAGAAGAAGCAGAGGAAGACAAAAGCATGACAGCTGAAGAAGAAGCAGCAGCAGCAAGTGGAAATTGGCTAAATTCCGCGTGGCCCATATGCAAAATGAAAGGAATTTATAGAATGGATTCTCTATAAATGGAACAGAGCTCCAGAGAAGTTGAACAAGAATGTGGGGAGCAGCAGTTGAAGAAGAAAGAGAGCGAGAATAAAAGAAAAAGAGACAGCAGCAGCATATGAAAATCAAAAGGCAGCAACAAGAGAAAAAGCCTCCACGCATTCGAATTTTTAATAAAAAAATTATCCAATAAAGAGAAATAAATGTACTTCAGATATAAACGAATCGAAAACTATATCTAATGGATATATAAATGAATATATATACATTTATTATAAAAATATATATATACTGAAAGTCAAAGCGAAGACGGGGCCTTGAGGACTTTCTTAGTCAAAACTCAATTGCACGGAACTTTATTTCAAATTCAATTGAGTGCTGTTTCACACTTTTCGTAAAATTCACTGAAGTAAGTGGAAAATGGAAGTGAGGAAAAATGAAGAAAATAGAATTCAGAATTGAAATCTATTTGTTTTAACATTGCTTTCGATATAAGTTAAGCAGCTTTATTGATGCTGATTAGCTCTTTATAAATAAATAATATTATATAATTATAATGCGATTTTAAGTGTAAGCTGATTTGAGGACTAGTTCAGAACAAGCTTAGGCAAACATTTCTTTTGCATTTACAGGAATAAGGCTGTTCCTTCCATTTCTATCAATCAAAGTTTGCCAACAACTATTCACTCTTTCGCAGTCATAACTGCTTGGGAATTATAAGCGACAAAGCAAAAAAAAAAGCCAAGCTAAACAAATAATATGACGGAATTGTTGTATTTAATCAAAATTTTCCATGTTTGAATAAAGAACTTACTTTCGTTTTGGTAAATGTTTACATATGACGAGGAGAAAATTAAATCCAATTAAAGTATTTCCATTTCCAGTTGGACTAATTACGCTAATACTAATTAAAAATTAGAGCAATGACACTTCTGATGATCTATTAGAATATGATATGATATATATACGGAAAGTGTCCGAGCACAGAATGTGATTACTGTGAGGATTCAGTTAGGAGTGTAATTAGGATTAGAGTGGAAGTATGGTTAAGAAGATGCTTCAGAGACTGATTTCGACTGACTTTCAATACTGTGATTAGTGTGATGATTCAACTGTTGGGATCTGAGTATATACTAGAAAGCATTCTTGAGTGCGAATATTCCGTAAAATAGGTTCAAAAAGTGTGTGCTATGCTGATTCGATATTTGAATAATGGCAACAACTTTGATCATTCCGCGGTGTACGAAACATGATTCGAATACGCTAATTGCCACGATGATTCGATATTTGAGTAAAGACAACAACTTCAAACATATTCTGAGGAGTTCGAGACATGATTCAAATACTGTGATCGCTGTGACTGCAATTTGAATACCATTCGTATAGCTTATGTGTGAATACTGTGAAACACCCGATTAAACAGATTTGCAGTTCGCTATCTTTTAGCTCGCAGCCAACTAATCCACTGTAAGCCCGGTGCTAATGAAATCTGTCACTGTCACACACCCTGTGTGCGTGTGTGTGTGTGTGCGTGTGTGTTTGCGTATTGCACTGTAGACCCATGACCGGGCCTGATGGACGCTGTACTCGGGACTTTCCCCAACCGCAAAGCCTGACATATCACAGGCCCACCATAATCAGCAGATGATTGGACTGGCGGGTTGGGGCTGCGACTGGGGCTGGGGATGGGCAGGGGCTGGCGGTGTCAATGTTTAACTACGGCGGGGCGAACGCATTGCGATAAAATGCGCCAGCGTGTGAGTAGAGTCACGTAGTCTAGGATGGCGGGTCTTTAAAAGAGAGGGTAACTCTAGGTCGTAGTGCTCACCTGTTATTGCTGCAGCTGAAGAGCCGGAAGAAATTGTTGTTGTTGTTGTTCTTGTTGTTGCTGTTTTCGTTGTTGTCGTTGCAGAAGAAGCAGAACTGGCGTGTGTTGGATAATGATTGATTGTCTGTTGTTTGTGTTGCTTCGGCTGTTAACCAACACTGCTCGCTAACGCTCTCCTATCAATAGCGGCTCCCTAGGGACGCTCTGGTAACTCCGGTAAGTTGCACTTGTGACACTAAAGCGTGACGCTGTTGTAAGGCATTTTGGTAGCACTTGGGGGATGTAACACTTCAAAAAAAATAGTACGATCTATGCGATCCAGGCAGATATATTTCTATATATATATATATACATGCATATATATATATCTGTTTATATATATATATATATATTTGGGAGTAGATACAGGTGCTATAGCTCTGTATCCGTTGGAAGCTGCGCCGCGCGCGTTACAAGAACCAACAAATCGACAAAAAAAATATATGTATATTTGTAATTCTCTTAAATATTTTATTTTGAAACACTAACGGAACACACGATATACGAATGGGGGTTACGAGTACGGTTACGGGTACAAGTACGGGTACGGGTACGGGTACGGGTACGGCTACGATTGTTGTTTGAATTGGTATTGGTGTAAAGTACGGGCGTTGAAAAAAAAGAAAAAAAAAACTCAATTCAGTGTTTTGTTTTTTTTTTTTATTTTTTCGGGGACTCTTTGTAAATGTTATTTATTTTGTCTGATTTGTATTTTATATATTTTTTGTGTTTTTCTCTTGTTTTCAGTTTCAGAGTTGCTCACGCGACGAAACCAACACGTTGAATAAAAGTTCAGGCGAATTTGAAATTCGCTTAAAGCCAATAAGTCCGTCGACGTCGACGAACAGTGGTGGCAGCGACGCCAGCAGCGGCAGTGCTGTGGCAGAGCGTTCTAATGCGAGAGCCGAAAGAACAAAACGAAACGGAATGAGAGACGACGACGTCGTTGGCGACGGCGAAGCGAGCTAAAGTCAAATGCAAAGGCGCGGCCCGCCCGTTTGTTGTTGTTGCTGCTACTGTTATTGTTGTTGTTATTGCCGTTGCCTTTGCCTTTGCCTTTGCCTTTGCGTTCGCTGCTGGCGTTCTAAGCTCGGAGCAACAACAATAACCGCCACTATAAAAATCTAATAAGAACCTCGTCGGCTATCCGACCGCTCGCACGTTCGTTGTTCGTGCGTTCGGGTTTCTTGTGTGTGCGCGCGTTCGGTTTGGGTTTGGTGGTGGGCGACGCGCTGTGAAGGCAGCGGGCGGCGTTGCGTTCAAGTCTGGTACACGCAAAGCACTAAAATGCGACGAGGCGACAGTCCGACCGACTGGCCGACTGCTGAAGCGGAACGCTGAAATACGAAACAGCCAACGCACACGGCAAACAAATAAACAAACGCTGCCCGCAAACATCGACCCAGTGACGGCGGCGCTGCCGACAACAGCCGCGTGGGCTGGACAGGCCCCACGGCGACGGCAGCGACGACGCCACTGCCCAGCCGTCGTCAAACGCTATAGCGGGAATGCGATGGAATTGAAATGGAGACGCGCACATAAATGCGCCCGAAAAAACCAAAAAGCAAAAAAACAAATAAAAGTGTTTAAAATGTTGCCGGGTTGTTGGGTTTGTATTGGATCAAAAGCTATTGGGCTCCACTCTACACACACACATACATACATACATATCATACATATTCACGAGCTACATACATATGTATATATATGTACGCAGAAATACACACACACACGCATATACATATGTATATATGCATATTGTATTCAAGTGTACATACTTACATACATTTCTTAATAAGCTTTCTTTACGAACCTTCGGCCGGAAACTTGTTCGCATTATTTTTTATATACTATATTATATATTTGGAACCCAAAAAAAAAACACACACATTTTTTCCTTTACAAGACGAAATTCTAGATTAAATCTAACTTGCTCTGTATATTCATAAGTATATATTTTAATTATTTTTATTTTTTATGCAGCATTCATTTTAGAAGTTTGTGCTTCAATGCAGATAAAGTAAAGTCAGATAAAATGTATTTGCAGAAACTAGAACAAACATTTAATAAAACTTAAATTCTGTTCCGTATTTGATTTTTTTGTTTTTATTTTATGTTCACAAATTTAATTTTAAATTTTTCCCAAATAAAACGAAATAAAATGTAATTCAATTGCATTTTTGATTTCGATGCTCGAATGATATATTGTGTGTCAGTGTAGCTCTTATTTTTGCTTTTGTTTTTGTTTTTGGCTGAAACGATTTGACATTGAAACAAGCGCCACGCTGCATACGCATTTGAAATGCAGCAGCGCAGCGACTGCGACGGCGACTGCGGTGACCTTGAAAATACATTTCGTTTTGAAACTGCAAAAGGGGCATGCGCAGCCAGCTAAGTGTGGCAAACAGTTATTGCTGCCGCAATGACAAATGAAATGTTGCACAAAAATAACTGTACATACATGTGTGCGTGTGTGTGCATGTAGGTGCACAAGTACCTGTGTCTAGCTACATATATGTAAGTACATATATGTATTTTGTGCAATTGCACGATAAGGTTGTGGAACATACTTAATTATTGCATAAACAGCAACAACAACAACAATAACAACAGGTAAAAGCAACAAGAACAAAGGAAGGCGGCGACAATTTGAAATTGTCGTTAACCTCTGATAAGACGCAAGCTCTTATCAGCTGGCCAGCTAAACGGTAGACGCAGGGACGGCGACGGCGACGGGCCATGAGCGAAGTGGCAGCGGCTAAAGAGCGCGCCCGTCGACTAACTAACAATGCACCCTCACACACACACACGCACGCATATGTGTACACATACATGTATAGATTGAGAAGTATGTAAAATGTTGGGGGCAGTCGACAATCAATCAAATGTTTTGATTTATTTCACAAAGCGCAGCAAAGAGCTAAAATTGTGAGTAAATAAATACATACACACACGCTCACACTCACACACACGCAGACACATGCACAGACACATACGCGCACGCATGTGATGTGGGCTTGGATTTTCAGGGGAGCAGCCGGCATAGAGCCGGCAACGGCAACGGCAACAAGCACAAAACCGAAGAATAGCAAAACAACAACAAAAAACGAGTGGGAACGAAACTTAAGAGAGTGAAACAATAACAAAGCGCGCGCTGCTCGTGACTGGAGAGAGAGAGAGAAGAGCAAAAACAACAAAAGCGGCGCAACGATATACAACCGGCTGTTTCGGTTTCGGTTTCGCTGAAATTTGTATTCCACCGTTCCAATGCATGTTTGTCCCACTCACGCAACGACGGGCAGTCGTTTAAACGCATTGCGAGAGTTCCCTCAATTGAGCCACATCATTTGTAACACTCAGCAGCGGCATGCTGCACTTTCAAATTAATAAGTTCCATTCCAGTTGCATACACACAAATGCTTATGTATGTATGTGTATACATGCATACATACATTGCAAAAATATATATACATATGCTTAAAAGCTATTACAAAAGTTTTACGTATATAAGTGTATGCAAGTTTCGGTGTAACCGAATAGGTATGCTGCCGTTGTGAAAAATCACATTAACAGAGCTGTTGCAGTAGCAGCGTCGCCGTTGGCTGCGAATGGATATTTAACTAACATTAACCGACTGCAAAATGTAATTTGTGCAAATATTCATTAAGTAAACAAATTATTATTAATTCATAACATTTAGCTTGTTTCAAATTTAACTGTTTAAATTGCAATATACAAACAAGCATATTTACTGTTAACGGTAAAGTAACATTAACAGCAGCACAAACAAAAACAAAATAACATGCTTTTTTGATAATGTTTTCATTTTCATTGATGCTGCGCTGCCGTCGCAGCACGCACATAAAACGTAAGAGAGAGAGAGAGAGAGAGAGAGAGAGAGAGAGAGATTGGCGCTCAGTCATATACCGGCGGCAGAACAGCCCATTGTGCTTCGCTCACATTTCGTTTCCAGTGTTCCAAGGCCGTCGTTTGACGCGACGACGACGGGCTCGGCTAGAGGTTCGGGTTCGCCAAGTGAATGTTCAGAATCTATTTTTAGGCATTGCATCGCGTCATGCGGCTTCGCCATACGCTGGTGATGCCGTGATCACGCCGCTGATTGGCCGAAGGCAACGGACAGAGCAATAACAACAAGCGGCGAGCAACGACAACGGCAACTACAACTACTAAGGCAGCAGCGACAAGCACAAAGCACACAGAACAAAAACAAAACACAACAACAACAACAAGAACGTAAAGTTCTATGTCGCCGGCGTCGTTGTCGCTTTCGGCTTCTAATAGCGATTTTATAAAGGAATAAAATGAGCATTAAAATCAGCAGCAACAACAACAACAGCAGCAGCAACAGCGACTGCGACAGCAGCAGTAACAACAACAGAGCAAGCATTGACAATAGCACAAATATTGAAATTGTGCAGCGACGCCAAAGACGACGCCGACGCACAAAGCGTGCCAAAATGTAAACAGCCCACTAGCAGCAGAGGACGCAGCAGCGGCTGCTGTGCGCCTGGTAGTGCGTGCCCAGTGCGTATAGTACACAAGCACACATACATATGCACGCACACGCTTACAAACAGGTGGCTATTGCAGAGTTATTTTGTTATTTCTTGACTGCGCTGTCGACGTCGCAGTCACCAAATAACATTCATAACTGAAAATTCAGCAGTTAATGAAATGCAAAAACGTGTTATGTAAAGAATAAAAAAATAAAAATAAAATAAAAACAAAAGAAAAATAAATAAAACAACAGCAACAACAAACGACAAGTAATTTTAATAGCAATTGCTTGCCACTTATGCATATGTATGCATCTGTGTCTGTCTCTCTCTCTCTCTCTCTCTCTCTCTCTCTCTCTCTCTCTCTCCCTCTGTCTGTGTGTGTGTGCACAGTATGCATATGCAAATGAAAATTAATCATTGAGAACTAACGAAATCCATAAAAAAATGCAATAATGGGGAGTTATCTAACATAAATACCCTAACAAAAAAACAAAACTATAAAAAAATTATAACTAATAACAAATACATAAAAAATTTAATTCTGGCATTTTGGGATTTCGAAAAAAAAAATACTCATACGACCCGTTGCCCAATTAAATGTAATGAATGTGCATCTCAGAGATATGGTTAATTCAAAATTCCGGCAACCAAAATTGTTAAGAAATAAAAATGGGATTTTTATCGTATATAATTTTGTTCTAATGAGATATTTGTTTTTACAGTCTTACAATAATTTACAATGTAGAATTTCCGAAAACCTAGAAGAAATTCATTGAATAATTTTGATCTTGCGGAAAATTTGGAATTTACTTTATATTTAGTTATATAATCATAGAATTATATAAATAAAATATGTTATATAATAAAATAATATATATTTGATATAATTAAATTAATATTTAGCTATAATTTTTAACGAATTCGATCTGGATTAGATTTAAGACTAGATCTCAGATATGCGCCACTTATATACTTAGTACTTGAACCAATATGCCTTGTTGTGGGGCTGAGCTTGTGAGCCTTTTTTCCTTTTTTTATGATGCTTCAGTTCCGGCTTCGATTTGCCTGTTCTTCATACAGGCTAGAGCTTAGTTTCAGGTTGATGCAAAATATTTGCAATCTGGCCAATGTCCTGTGCTAGTGTGCATGCCCCGTTTGGCAGGGTATCGAAGCGTTTGTGGGTCGCCTTTGATGCGCCTAACAGTAGGCAGCAGTGGCAGCTGCCCCGCGCCGCTGACAGCTCCCACGAGCTGTTCGCTAAATAGGCGACTATAATTTTTAATAGCTTTTGTTACTCATACGCCCGGTTGGGCACCCCGCAATACCCTACACAACCGCCGTTCCTCGCCTAACTGGCTCGATCGGTTTGGTTCGGTGCGATTTGTTTCGTTTCGGTTGCGCGGCATTGCAATAAATTGTCAGCTATATAGATATATATATTATATACGTATGTATTTATATATGTATATCTAGATGTAAGTGTGTCTGTGTGCGTGGCAAAATGACTTTGTGGGCAATAATTAGTTACAAATTGAAATAGTGTCACATAAAATGCAAACAAAAAATGAAAATTATAATAAATTAGCGTGTTTTTATTTAAGTGCCGCATTTGCATATTGATCTGTTCGCTCCGATCCGCGATCTTCGACTCGACCTGAGTCGAGGCTTGGCAACCATCTCGCCAACATGCCTCTCCTCTCATCTCTCCTCTGCCTCATATCCGGAAACGCCGAATGGAGATGATGATCTGGCTGAGGAGCAAACACATACCATATCTTGGCTGTGATCATGTTTTGATCAGTGGAATTAGACCAGACTTCAAAACGATTCAAGTTAACTCTTGGATCTCGAAGTAAATCAAATTGTATCCATATATTATCCATATACTATTCATATATACCACAAGAACTCTTTTAAAATCATATCTCAAATCGATTTACAGCAGAATTTTTTTCGATTCGAGTTTATCCAATCCTTTTCTTCACTTGTATGTGCATAAAAAAGGAAGTTACTTTAATCTATGATTAGGATTGTCGTATATA